CACTACAGGGCTACTGTAACCAAAACAGCATGGTACTGGTATTTGATTTCAGATTCTTCATTTACAATAAATGTGAATACTGTAACATTCAGCTGTTAAAAACATCCAATTGGTTTTTTTTTTCCAAAAATGCCACTATAACATGTTTTCTTTGCTTGTTTGTGTGTTCATTTAAAAAAAAAAAAAAAAAAAAAAAAAAACAAAAAAAAACAAAACCGTAACCAGCCTCCACTTACAATTCTTGTTTTTCGTTTAGTTCAGCATACTTTCCCTGACCTTTTTTTCTTCTAATACTGCCCTGGAGAAGACTGTTAGTTTTGACCTCTCTTAACCCTTTCTTGGCCTCTTTGTGTCTTTTATCCTGGTGGTTGCCATTATTCCCTGGTGGTGTTTGGGGATAAGACATTTTTTAATCTCCATTTCTCGCCAAAACCTAATCTCCATTTCTCGCCAAAACCGGTAACTCACTTCCTAAAGCCTGTCCTTGCTGCTAGGTGAACATGGGTAAAAACCCAAGTCCCCCAATGCATGAACAAGGTTACTATTTACTTCACTTAATCAATTCTATATGTTAACTAGGTTAAAAAATTAGAAGCTTTCAAAATATTCTGATTGATATTTTCAAGTATCAAGGTACTCAAAAACCATGGAACTCATGGTTTTGGTTAGGTAATCCTTGAAATCAGCACCAAATTTCTATGGATGTGATGGTCTGTTTTGCTAAAAACATGGCAAAAACTTGTTGCTTTTTGTAAGTGGAGAAACTATTTTCACAAATTCTTCCAATAATTCTTCCCCCCATCATTCACTTTGCATGGATTGTCAGGCGTTTGCTACTTGTGAAAGTTTTAAGAAATAGAACACTGAACTGAGCCAGGCAGAATTTTATTGTTTTCCTTCAAATTCATACCAATCTATAACTTCAGTATTACAATTAACAGATTTCATAAGCTGACAAGATAATACTTAGTAAAGGAGATGAGTGTCCACCTAACAATATGCATTTTGAAGTCATTTTCAAGCATCAAATTTTAGCAATGTAAAACCACCAGTGTCTTAACTTCTCTAAGTGGTCTTTCATCTGTAAAATGCAGGTAACACATTTTATTTCACATAACTGTTCTCAGGAAAGTGCATATCACAGTACTTGGAATAGAAATGTTTAACGTACGTTGCTTGTATTCTCTTCTTTCTCTTTAACATGCATAGGCATGTGCATAGACACACACACACACACACACACAGACACACAGGAGCAGAAAAGTGTTTCTGTATTTACTTAAAGATGTTAAATGTAGATTTAGTGCCTTTTCTTATATCGATTCATTTTAATATGCACTAAGGAGAATTTTACTGTGCTTTCCATGAATTTTGAAGGAAAAATACATACACTTATATTGCTATTTTGCTGATATATTCTTAATGTCAAAAGAGTTTTCATTTTAATCCGTGTTTAAAAATATGATTGTGTTTATGTAACCACAGCACCTCACTGTGTGCAGGTATAGTAGTGTGGCTATGTGAGGGCAGACATCATTTCTCTCACACTCCAAGACAGTGTATCTATTTGTATCTTTTTGAGGAACTGAACACACCTCACACTGTGAATACCTAATACCCGTGAGGGCAGAGACTTTGTCTTGACACACTGATTGGCTTAATTAATTTATCTTGAGTTCATATTGTTAATTTTTATTTTAAGAATAACACATAATAGGTTCTTAAGAATTATTTATAAAGGTGAAAGGAATATAGGACTGAATGAAGAAAGCAAAATGCCCTATATCTAATAGAGTATATGCAACTTTTGACAATTAGGAATATATTATCACTTAATGAATGGCTCTTAGTGTTTAAGGATTTTCAAGCCTGATCGGGGCTTATGACATTTATGGGCATGATGCACACATGCACACACATGCACAGGCACATGAGTGTATACATACACACACACACACACACACACGCCACTTCACTGTCTCACTAACCCACTGCTAACTTGAGGGTATAGGTATTTATGATTTACTTTAAGTCCATTCAGCTAACTTGTTTACTTTTTGTATTGATTGTTACATCTCCGCCTTGCCATAATGTTGACACTTGTGCAGCGCTGGCAAAATCAGAGCAGATGAGTAGGCTGGACTTCAATTTTCTGGTGATTAACTTTCCTCTGTGCAGTTTGAGTTGAGGTAGACTTTTTTCACTGGTCAGAGAATTGCAAGCTGTTAAAATTGTCACCATTGTTTAGTTTTTATCTCATCTACCATTTTTTTGGCAATTCAATAAATATATTATTATCATTAATAATAGCATCAGCATATGGAGACTTTGGAAATCAAAGTCCTGCAGAGCTTGTGGCTGATCAGACCTTGAGGTCACATAAGCAGCTGAATCTGAAAATCATTATTTTCTCGTTTCCTGTATAAAGGATTATAGGCCCATAGGTCCTCTTAGAGTTTTTATCCCTCTAGTAGACCTCTGAAAGTTTACAAGTCTAAATAGCAACTCAGGTGCATTTTCCCAGAATGATTCCTGGTATTTCTGGGCCTTTGCTGTTTCTATGCTACCCTCCACTCCTTAGATCCAGCCTGGTCCAGCAGTGCTTAGCCCCGTTAGCCACTGGATCACTGCAGGTGTTTCTTGTAGTTCTCCAATCTCATGCCATTGGGCCACCTCTTCTCTTGGGCTTTCTCTTCTCACTTCTCCTTTGTCTTTTTTGTCTTCCCCTAATGCTGATTTCTTGGCCATCAGTGCTATGTAGCTACTGCAATTTTTGCCTTTGCTGCTGAACACCCAAGTCACCCTCTTCCAAATAATTTTTCAAGATATTTTAATAAAATGAAAAAGAAAACTTTTCTTATAAGACAAATGCTGTGCCCAGCTCCAAAAATTAAAATTTTACCTGAAGTCTTTTAAAATATATATATTTCTATAATGAAACATGAGTTTATATTAAGTATCCTTGTGAGGAAAAGATTTACAATTTGTTTTTCCTCAAAAAGCCAACCTCTCATTGCCCATCATCAGTTATTGAATAAATTACTCAGAAATCCAAACAGGAAAATATTTCCCTTCTATCTTTCCATTTACTTGTGTCTTACCATATAATTCTATGTCAGGATAATATTAACATATGTTGTAAAGAGTACAGCTTAGAGACTGCCTTCTCAGAATAGAACCAGCAACCAATCAGAATGAATGCGGGCCACAGGTGAGCTTTGAGATAGCTCCACTGATGAGTGATGATTTCATATAAGTCCTCTTCTTAGTCAACTTTTAAAGTTTTCTATTATTCCACACATTTGTTAAAATCAAAATGACCTCACATAACTTTTTTTAGTTGCCATTTCCTATAAGATGATTCTCTATTACATTCTTCTACCTGGTTGTGTGTGTGTTGTGTTTAATCTGTACACTCCGGATATCTTCTTAACCATTCAAATACCTGAATTTTTAAGATTTATTTACTTCATCTTCAGATTGAGTGTCCTCTCTGTTTTTCCAATATGTGGTTTTTCTTGCTGTTTTCAAATTTTTCTTTATACTTTTAAGATTTTATGAGTTATTATGCAGAATGTATACCATGAAATTTTATTAAATAATGGGGGGCTTATATAACCAAAATTACACAGCCAAATGGCAATTCCTTTTGGTCATTAATAGGGTTAATGTGATGGCCAGTGTTAATGGATCAGGTGAATTTGACAAGATGTCTTTCTTTCTCTTTAATGACGTAAAGGCTATTTTACTTTAAGAGCATTATATTTTGTATTCAAAACATTGTGGGTGTTGTTTGTTTTCTCTTAGCATTCTTGTTGGAGAACTCATGGGCCAGATTTTTATTATCTTATTTTCTCTTGTAGATTGTCTTTTCAAAAATAAGTTATTTTAGGATATGTATTGTATTCTTTTCTAAATTACTAATTCAAACATCATCTTCTAATGGCTGCTTTATTATTTATTTTGTGATAATTCATAGTGTATTTAAGTGACTGTTGTTCTTTCCACCTTCCCTCTAATTGTTTATATTTTCCTGCCTCAATTCTGGAATCAACAATTTTTTAAGGGCCCTCATTCTATTTTGTAAGAAATGACATTTAGAAACTGATATTTGCAGACTGTGTGCTCATTGCTACTATGGTGCTTTGGGTTCTAGGCAGATTCAGAAGACAGCTGGAAGGTATATACATCTATTAGTCTGTCTACCATCATCATCATCATCTCTTAAAACCATAAACCATGAACTCATACTGATCTCTCCAATCCCAATTCAACACCCCAAAGTTGATTCAGGACAATTCCTTTTTAATATTAGTAACTCCCTTCACCAGTAAAGAGAAACCTGGCTCCTATCATCCTCAATATATTCAATTCATTTGCTTTTACAAATTATACATAAAATGTACTTTCAAAAGTATTAACCCATACCATTAAGGAAATACATATTCTGCTTAGAGTTCAGTACTTGTTTACATTGTTCTCACTTTTAGATTGAGTATATATACTTAAAATTAGTGATTTCAAAAATTATTTTGTCTTTTTTTTCCCCTCCCATTTCACTATGGTTACATTATCAATTTAAAATCTGTTCAGGTCCGCATGTTTTTGTTTGTATTTCATTCTGGATTATTTGGAGGGTGAAGAGATTATTTATTTCCTCATCTTGTTGATTTTCTTATCTTCTTTAAAGTATGTAAACTGTCCCATGGTTCCCAACATAAAATCTATAAAAAAGGTACATGATAAAACTTGCCACTCTACCACCAATCGATTGCATCCCATTCACATCACTCTTGTCCTTAATTAACCATACTATTTTCTGGTTTATTCATTCTATTTCTTTTTACATTAGATAAGTGGATACATGAGTATGTTCTTATTTCCTCCTTTTATTTCTTACACAAAAGTAGGCATATATAAAGTTTTTTATTTTAAAAAATATTTAGCAGTATAACCTGTGTATTTTTATACAGTATATTATTTAGCAGTATATTCCTTACCATTTCATAGAGCTCTTCCTCAGTCTTTTCCATAGCTTCACAGGACTCTGTTGCATCTTTTGTAATTCAGTTCATCTCCCGAGTATGAGCTTTTAGGTCATTCCTATTTTGCAAATATAAATAAGCTGTAATAAATTATCTAGTGCAAATGTACTTTTATAGTCAAGGTGAATCTTCAGAGTAAATCTCTAGACAAGATATTTCTGGATCAAAAGATATGTCAAATTCCCTTCCATAAATGGACCATGTTGTATTGTTACCAGTAACATGTAAAAGGTTCCCTTTCCTCCATAGCTTTACTAGCAGAGCATATATTCAATTTTGTTTTTCTTTTATTTTCTTTTTGCTTTTTGTCAATCATGGTGGGAAAACTCTGGAACTCAGCATGATTTTATTTGTATTCATCTTATTCTGAGTGAAGGTGAATATAGTTTCATATGTTTAAGGGCAATGTTAATAACTTTTTCTTATAATTTCAGGATAATGTCATTTGTCCACTGTTTTTTCCTATAGGACATCTGTGCGTTTCCATTCAATTTTTAAATCTTCACAAACACACCCAGAAATAACATTGTATCACCTCTTTGGCATCTCTAAACCCAGTTAGGTTGACACATAAAATTAACCATCACACTTATTTCTTATATCACTTCAATTTTCTAAATTCTTATAACATTAGTACATATTAATACCCAATCTAATGACACTGGAAACTAAAAGTATATTTATACACATTCAATTCAAGCTAATAAACATACTTCAAATAGAAAATTGGTGAGGAACATATCAAAAAGTCTAAAGAATATAGAAGGAAATGTATCTGGGGAATTTACCCTACACTAGTAACAATCTAGAAATATATTTTATAGCACATCTATATAATTACACTTCACAGCTATTTCATTTCTGGCCAATGTTCAGGTAATAAAAGATGTTTTGCTTTTTATGGGTCCAGAGACCCATTTTCAAAATGGAATCGACTCTTTCAAATGAAGAGTTCTTTTAAAATGAAGTAGCAGAAAAGTGTAAAAATTTGGAACACAGGAAACAAACTCATAAAGTCTTATTTTATTTAGAAATCTCTACACATTATTTTCAATGTCTCTTTCTTTCCTCCAAATAAAAGAAAATACTTTACAATACTCAATTTGAGGCAATGTACTAAGTGGCCAAGTGTCACAGACAATACTCTACATCATAAACAAAAGTGCACAGTAATTGTCCTTGGAAGTTGGAAGTGAAAATGCCTCATAACAAAGCAAAATTCATTATCCCTTCCACAGTCTTGATAATGTGAATGTGTTTCAATTGTGTTTAAAGCATAAGTAAAGTACAGTTCTGCAGGGTTAACATCCTTAAGTTTGCCTAAATGATTTAGGAAATAAAACAGCTTGAGTTTAATTAAGCAATTTGTTTGAATTACACGATGTAATGTAACAGGTTTTTTTTTTTTTTAATTTTTAGCTAATAGTTTGTTTTTATACGATAGAAAAACAAGTCTTAGTAAAAAACAAAAAATACAATGAGTAAGATAAAAGCAAAAATAAAAAATGAAGAATAAAGGATGATATTATCAGATATATATGATGTATTATTCAGATATCATACATATGTAGTTTCCTTTTTCAATTATTTAAGGATGCACAATAGTTTAATCCTATTGATGCAATCCTAACTCCTACTAATATTATATTTTCCCTTTTTTATTATCTCACATAATTATTCATGTTTTCCAGTCTTCAAATCTAGTAAGTCCACTATTAAGGTTAAAAAAATAACTGAAGATAATCATATTAACTCAACATATGCAGGCAAGTACTTGAAAGTGTCTCTACCAAGGCTTGGTAAATGAGTATTTCCTCACTTTCCTGATGGGAGGAAGTCCTTGTCAATAAGCTTCAAACAATGTGATGCTGTTTGAGAAGACTGGTCATTAATATATGCTATAGTTAGTATATTACATCTCATTCATATAGAGCCACTAAAATGATAGTGCAAGAACTATAAAAATAACCATTGATGTTACAGTTGTCATAGTCTGTGCTTCAGATCATTGGCTTGATGGCATTTTGAAAAGACCTAAGTTATCTGGTGAGAAAAATTTCATTGAGGTCTCATTTTCTATAATAATTTGGTACAGAGTTACTGAGTTCATTTTTGCCCTCTGTCTTCAATCACCTCCCTTTCTCTCTGTGTGTTCTGTTCTTTAGCAGAGTACTAGAGACCCCAAAAGATAAGTCACAGGGATTGCAGAGGGAAACTTTTGTCTGATGGTAGACTTTTGATTGAATTTAGAAATGAAATATTAATTAAAATGTTGAGAAATTTTTCTCTTTACATTGACATTGAAATATTAAAAACAATTTATTCTGAAGCTACTAGGAATCACATGACATTGTATTACAGGTGGTGCCTTTTATAAATTATTAAATTTTGTTTTAGTTCTTGTATTATACAGTAAAGTACAAGATATATCATGACTCAGTGAGATAGCTGGCTCCCTCTGTGAGGGGCTCATTAGATAAGTTAACATACCATGTAACCCATAGAATGGCTTTTACATGTATTCCTCTGTGAACCAATTAGACCTTCTTTTTTATAAAATGTGTGAATACGGAATGTGATAACTCACAGTGAATTATTATGCATTGTATTCCATATTCTGTTGGCCTCAGGCAAACTAGGTGATTTCAAACTGTTTTTTGTTTTTTGTTTTTTTTTTTTTATTTCTCTCTACACTAATGCGAAAATAATGATACTTCATATGGGTATTGTTGAGGTTTAGTTAAAATTTATGTAGAGTTTTATATCCAAGCCTATACAATTATTCATGGGAGTCCTGATTGTTTCTATTACTGATATGTTATTCCAATAGGTAAAGAGAATTGAGAGATCATAGTTCACACACGAAACTGTGTTGTTAGGGAAAACAATTTTGAACCTGAAATTAGAAGTCTGAATTTGAATCTTTGTGGCCTTGGGCAAGCCATGAAATCCCCATAAGCATGTTTTGACACTTACCTGCAACTTCGATTTTTCTTTTATAAAGCTGATAAAATAATATAAACTTCACAGGTTTTCTGTAAATTAAAACTGTGGCAGTGTTTGTGAATTAAATATTTTGAGGAGCTATTAAGAGGTTGGAACAATGGGAGCTCTAAAAGTGAAGAATATGAAGGAGTCCAATCCAAGAGAGGATGGTATAATGAGTTGGCAGGGATGCATCTAAATGCTCTCAAGAGAATTTATTCTATAATCAATAATCTCATTCACAAGAAAATGATAAAGGTTGAGAGTGTACGCTGCTGTCATGACCTACGGACACTGCCTAAATCCTTGCAACTCGAAGTGCAGTCCTTGGACCAACATCCTCAGCAATAACTGGAGGCTCGTTAGAAGTGCCGAATCTAAGGCCCCATCCCAGACATACTGAGTCAGAACCTGCATTCTAACAAGATGCCCAAGAGACTCATATATACAATAAAGTTTTAGGAGGGCAAGACTTGACCACATGATGTAGCCTGGGAATATCTGCTCTTGATAAAGCCATTTGAAATTAATAATATCCAAATATATGCAGGAGGATTGGGGCAATGTGACCTGGCAGTGTTTTCGAATTTTATATCCCGTCTTATGTCCTTAGATTATCCTATTAAATCTCCCTAAGCACAAGCCCGTCTACCGACCCCTATACGTAGTGACAAGTGCATCTGGATAATAGTAACTTTTAGGATTTCGATTATTTGCTAAAACAGGGATCTTATATGAGACTTATAACTGGTCCTATTACCTTTAAAAAAACAAACAAACAAACAAACAAAAAAAAAAACTCTTCTGGCCGGGCGCGGTGGCTCACGCCTGTAATCCCAGCACTTTGGGAGGCCGAGGCGGGCGGATCACGAGGTCAGGAGATCGAGACCATCCTGGCTAACACAGTGAAACTCTGTCTCTACTAAAAATACAAAAAATTATCCGGGCGAGGTGGCGGGCGCCTGTAGTCCCAGCTACTCAGAGGCTGAGGCAGGAGAATGGCGTAAACCCGGGAGGCGGAGCTTGCAGTGAGCCGAGATCGCGCCACTGCACTCCAGCCTGGGGGACAGAGCGAGACTCCGTCTCAAAAAAAAAAAATAAATAAATAAATAAATAAATAAATAAATAAAATAAATAAAAATACTCTTCTACAAAAAGGATAGGCACCTCCTTCATTGCTTTACAATTACCGAGAAAAGTCATTTAAAGAGCCCAGAGAGTGGCATTGAATTGGAGATCGCTAGTCAACTAGGGCATATTTTCAGAGCATGAGAGGCTTATAAAATACATATTCCAAGACCCCAAACTCTCAAAGATTGATTCTCCAGGAATCTACATTTTAACAATGGACTACACTTTGTCCTTTACAGATAAGTTCCCCATGCCCAGCTTTATTCAAACCTGTAACTTTGTCTATTGATTGAATAGATTGTTCAATGAACATCCTCTTTCAATCTTTATCAGAAATTGACCTCACTATACGGACTACTGTTTAGGGCAGTGTCTCTCACTGAGGTCCACTTATATCAGAAATACCTGGTGCATTTGCTAAATTTCAGCTTCCTACGCCATACCCAAGAAACCAGAATCCCTGGATGCATTTTGCATTATTTCTATTTCCCCAGGAATATCTAATACATAGCCAAGTTTGGAACTATTTCTCTAGGTTATTAGTTCTTAACTCTAGTTCATATAAGAATAACTTAAAGACCTTTTCAAGTATATTCTTACTGGACCGCAAACCCAATCCTTCTGATTTATTTGGCCTAAGCAGTGGGAATGGGCCGTCATCTGTATTAAATATTCTAACCTGTGTTCTGGCTAATAGAGCCTGCAATTGGTGGTCAAAAAATTAGCTTCCTTTCATGAAAAATATTCAGGTCAATATTGGTTCTCTGCAACCCCGGGTAACAGCACATTCTATACCTGAAACCCTTTTCTGATGTTTCCAACTCCCCCACCCCTTTGCAGGCCAAATAAATTCTAAAATAATTTAGTAATGGCAAACCAGTGAAGAAATGTCCATCTTCAAATTAGAAAAAAATAATTCCCAAGTAGAGTCATTCTTACAAC